AATAGTAAAAGTAATATAGGGGAGTTATAGTACATTGCTTGTTACATAAGGTACAAAACATACAAACATACATACGAAAGGTCAGGTCCAGCCGATACCTCCACCGGTCCTTCGTTTTTGCATACGACAACCCAATGCTAAGGGGATCGGTACAGTACATTGCTTGTTACATGCAAAAGGTCAGGTCCAGCCGATACCTCCACCAGTCCTTTGTTTTTGCATACGACAACCCAATGCTAAGGGGATCGGTACAGTACATTGCTTGTTACATACAAAAGATCAGGTCCAGCCGATAACTCCACTGGTCCTTCGTTTTTGCATACGACAACCCAATGCTAAGGGGATCGGTACAGTACATTACTTGTTACATACAAAAAGTCAGGTCCAGCCGATAACTCCACCGGTCCTTCGTTTTTGCATACGACAACCCAATGCTAAGGGGATCGGTACAGTACATTGCTTGTTACATACAAAAGGTCAGGTCCAGCCGATACTTCCACCGGTCCTTTGTTTTTGCATACAGCAACCCAATGCTAAGGGGATCGGTACAGTACATTGCTTGTTACATACAAAAGGTCAGGTCCAGCTGATACCTCTACCGGTCCTTCGTTTTTGTAAACCTCTTTTATCAAGAACATAAGACAGTAATATTATCAATGCCATTGTTCAGTAAGTACGAAAGTACTTACAGTTGTATGCATTTTTCTGAACTCTTGTTCTTGAGTCTGAAAACAAATAAGAGACATTTTAATCATTCAAATATTTTCAAATAGGTGTGATCTTCTGCATCACTTGCCACCTCAGAAACAACAACTGTTTCACTCTGGGAGATTTTCTCATCTCTCTTGATGGGGCACGGGTTTGGGGTCCTAAGGAGGACCAATCCAGTCATATACTTCCTACAAAAACAAAAAATTATTTAAAAAAATAATGATAATAATGAGACTATGTATATTGAAATAAACTTGTTATCCAACATATCAACTAAAGAATTGATAACAATATATATTTATAAATTTTATGATTACATCCAGTTACGAAGTATTGATAATAGTCGTAAATAGCTGAAGACCGAAACTTCTACCAAATTGTTTGCAGTTAATGGTTGTCTATATTATATATATCACTGGAAGCAAAAATAACAGAGAAAAGGCATACATACACACTTAAAAGTTGCAAAAATGTTTTGGTTATATATCACAACAGTATATTTTAACTTTAAAGCGTACTTGATAACATGAGCCTATATTAAAACATCTTGTGAATGTTTTGCCTCCACACTTTGCCTTCACGAAGACCCCATCCGTTGTTTCTTGGCCCACNATAAGACAGTAATATTATCAATGCCATTGTTCAGTAAGTACGAAAGTACTTACAGTTGTATGCATTTTTCCGAACTCTTGTTCTTGAGTCTGAAAACAAATAAGAGACATATTTTAATCATTCAATTATTTTCAAATAGGTGTGATCTTCTGCATCACTTACCACCTCAGAAACAACAACTGTTTCACTCTGGGAGATTTTCTCATCTCTCTTGATGGGGCACGGGTTTGGGGTCCTGAGGAGGATAAAGTGTAGAGGCAGGTCCTCTCTGCAACCAATCCAGTCATATACTTCCTACAAAAACAAAAAATAATTTTAAATAATAATAATAATAATGAGACTATGTATATTGAAATAAACTTGTTATCCAACATATCAACTAAAGAATTGATAACAATATATATTTATAAATTTTATGATTACATCCAGTTACGAAGTATTGTAAATAGTTGTAAATAGCTGAAGACCGAAACTTCTACCAAATTGTTGGCAGTTAATGGTTGTCTATATTATATATATCACTGGAAGCAAAAATAACAGAGAAAAGGCATACATACACACTTAAAAGTTGCAAAAATGTTTTGGTTATATATCACAACAGTATATTTTAACTTTAAAGCRTACTTGATAACATGAGCCTATATTAAAACATCTTGTGAATGTTTTGCCTCCACACTTTGCCTTCACGAAGACCCCATCCGTTGTTTCTTGGCCCACCCTATTTCTCCTTGCTTGTCGTAACTGTAAGAGATAAATCACACCTATATGTAAAATGATCAAATGCATGTGGTACATTTGCATATTTAAATAAAAATTTAAATGCATACAGCAGGCAACTATATATTATATTGATCGTTTGCAACAGCCGCCATGTTACATGGACTTGACGAAAGAATTTTCAATTATTTCTTTGTTATATCATCTAAGTGCCTATTGTTATTTTGTTCTCTTGAGAATGATTGCAAACCAAGAATAATGTATTGACCGCACAGTGACTCACAATAGCAGGTATTTTATACTCACAGCCTGGGCTTCTGCGTTGCTAGCAACAGGACCTGCTGCCTGTAAAGAGAGTAGAAAGCAATGCTCAATTAATTAAAACATGCTTCATAATTAATGTAAGGACTGCACACCGACTCACTATAGCTGATATTTTGTACTCACAGCCTGGGCTTCTGCGTTGCTAGCAACAGGACCTGTTGCCTGTAAAGAGAGTAGAAAGCAATGTTCAATTAATTAATACATGCTTCATAATGTAAGGACCGCACAGTGACTCACAATAGCAGGTATTTTATACTCACAGCCTGGGCTTCTGCGTTGCCAGCAACAGGACCTGCTGCCTGTAAAGAGAGTAGAAAGCAATGTTCAATTAATTAATACATGCTTCATAATGTAAGGACCGCACAGTGACTCACAATAGCAGGTATTTTGTACTCACAGCCTGGGCTTCTGCGTTGCCAGCAACAGGACCTGCTGCCTGTAAAGAGAGTAGAAAGCAATGCTCAATTAATAGGTTATCATGAACTTAATAAAAAACAAACAAACAAACAAACATATGTTTAAGGAATGAATATTACAAGTGAGAACACATACTTGGTCCATCTGTAGACTCATTTCCACCCCCTGATCTTGTTCTGCTTTGAGCCTTTCACGCTCCTCCGAAATTATCCTAAATTTAGAAAAATAGCATTAAAACTCCTCATTACTTTAGTAATCTTCTTTGAATAGTGTTCCACAGTATTTTATAATAGTTTCCCAAGTATATCTTTGATGATCTTGAGAGATGTCAAAGGTGCATGCTTTTTTTCTGGTTTTTTTTTTTTTTTCATCCATGTCATATGAGTCCAAGCTTTCCTTATTTTTTACCAATGTTTTTTGACTGTTGCAAGCGAATTATCAACCAATTTATTGTTTAAAAGAATCATTAGCAACCACAAAGATATTCATCATGTTATAAATCTTCTGTGCAAGTGTGCTTTCACAATGCTGCCAAATTTTAAGGTTTTAAATATTTCGTTTATGAGTCATGTCGTATTATTATATATATCAACATTAAATTTTATTATCTGCATACATTATTAAGAGATCGTATATTATTTGTACACAAATGTACATGAACGTAATAGCTGATATTACAGCTAATCCCACAATGAGAAAATCTTTTGTTTTAAGGATCGTTCAAATGAGGCTATAGGGTTGATACAATGCATAATGGCTCATCTGCATGCAACTATAATAACAGCTTTTGACAACCTACGGTATGGCTGCCATA